ACAAAATAGGCGTTTAGGTTATTTATTCGTGGTTGTAGTACTTCTCGTTGTTTGCTAGCAGCAGCGAAGCCTCTTCCTTGCCCCCCAGCAGCTGTCCGTACAGCTCATGCTGCAAAAGAAGAACTTTCGCTGCAGCAACTCCCTCAAGGCAACCCCACCCTTTCACCACCCCTTCTTTGTGTGAGGTGTCTGTACACCTCAGGGCCCCGAGAGGCTCGACGACTACGAAAGCGCGTTGGAGCGGCTCTTAGAAGAATATCCTCTTCTTTTTGGCTACTGGAAGAAACTCGCAAGGCTTCAGTGCCATTTGAAAGGCGACTGGACCAAATGTGACGAGGTCAGCAACCTCCTGCTGCTGCTGCTGCTGCTGCTGCTGTTGCTGCTGTTGCTGGTACTGCTGCTGCTCTGGTTCATGCTGCTCGGAGCAGCGCAGCTGCTGCTGCTGCTGTTACCGCTGGCTCTCCTTCTGCGGCTTTCTCCAACGCCTTTCCCCTTTTGCCCCTTCTGCTGGTGCTGCTGCTGCTGTTGGTGCTACTGGTGGTGCTGCTGGTGCTGGTGCAGCTTCTGCTGCTACTGCTTGCGCACCTTGCGCTGCTGCTGGTGCTGCTGGTTTGTGTGTGCAGGTATTCGAGCGTTGTTTAGAGTTTGTAGGCCACAACCCGCTTGTGTGGACGGCCTACTTGGAGTGGGTGCGGGACTTTGCCTCGCTGCCCCCCCACCTCATCAGGGCCCGCATGGACCAGGCCATAGAACAAGCAAGCCCTAAACCCTAAACCCTAAACCCTAAACCCTAATGAACCCTATACGCTAACAAACCCTAAACCCTAACAAACTCTTAACAATAAACTGTACGTTAAAGCCAGGGAACAATGGCTCCGAGCCCGTTGCAGGTGCTGTTGCTGGCGGCGGCTTTGATGTCAGGTGTGCTGCTGCTGTTGCTGCTGTTGCTGTTGCTGTCCCTGTTGCTGCTGCTGCTACTGCTGCTGCTGCTGCTGCTGTCACCAGGCTGGGGCCCACTGGAAGGCGTGGCCGCTGTGGCAGAGCATTCTAGACTGGGAGGAGGGGGAGCTGTTTGCAGCCCGCGAGAGGGTCAACGCTGCTGAGCATGTTGCGGGGCCCCTGGAGGCGAAGGAGGAGGAGACAGAGAACACAGACAGCAGCGCTCAGCCCCCTGCTGCTGGCACTAGCCTCGTAGAGACAAACCGCATGCAAATGAAACTGGCGCTGCAGCGTGTACGGACACCTCAACACAAAACAAAACAACGAAACAAAACAACAAAATAAAACACACGCTGGTGATATATGCTGCTGCAGTGCATCTCTTTGTATTGCCTCTAGGGCAGCACCTCCTACTCGTCCCGCAGCTGTTGCTGCGGCTGCTGCTGTTGTTTACTGCTGCTTTCCCTGCTGCTATCGTTGCTACGGTTGCTGCTGCTGCTGCTGCTGCTGCTGCTGTTGCTGCTGCTGCTCAGCTTCGGCAGCTGTATTGGAAGCTGCTGCAGACCCCGCTGGAGTGCTCGGACTTGGCTTGGGAGAGGCTGAAGGCCCTGGTTGAGCGGGGCAGCAGCAGCAGCATAAGAAGCAGGAGGGGCCCCCGTCCTGGCCTGCATGCAGATGCTGACGGGCTCACAAAGGGGGCCTCCACGCTCTTTGACGTCTATGATTTGCTTCCTGATGAGCTGCTGCAGCAGCTGCTGCAGCGGCTGCTGCAGCAGAAATCCGCAACGCTACAGGAACTTCAACTGCCACCTGAAACAGCAGCAATGGATCAGCAGCAGCTTTCTGATGATCCTGCTGCAGTAAGAGACGCTATCAAAGAGAGGGGTACGTGATTCTCATGCTGCTGCAGGAGTTGCTGCTGCTGCTGCTGTGTCTGCTGCTGTCATTGCTGCTGGCGCTGTTGGTACTGGCGGTGCTGTTGTTATTGCTGCTGCCAGGCCAAGGGAAACGAGTGAAGCTGCTGTTGCTGCTGCTGCTGTAGATGCTATTGCTGCTGCTGATTGCTGCTGCTGCTGCTGCTACCACTGATGCTGTACGCCTACTTGATGGGAGCTGCTGCTGCAGTGTCTCTCTGTGAGGGCCCCTACACCTGCTACTAATGAATACGGATACTCTCAGCGCATTTGTTCTTGTTGCTGTTGCTGTTGCTGCTGCTGCTGCTGCTG